ACGCACGAATAGGTTATTATATGCTGTGTATTTCGTTTTCGTTTGTTCTCTGGTCGGAGCTGCAACTAACTACCGAACGCTTGACTTTAACATACATGTATGATGCTTAAAATGTAGCTTAGCATAAAGATAAGGCGACAGAAGAAGAAGAGAGAGAGAGAAATAGATAAGAAGAGAAGAGCTAAGAGCGCAGCAGGTGCAGCCATACACCCATGCGCGCATGATTAGGCGCTAGCGGTCTGCTCCGAACAAATCATATAAAAGAATTCGACGAAATTTTCTCTGTGTGGAGCAGAGCAAAATAGATAAGTGGGTAAGAAAATCAATGAAATTTATTTATGGCAAATCTTTATGTTTTTATGTTCCAGACCTTTTCATTTTTTTGCGCATCTGAATTCAAAGTAACCTTTAACTAGTTCGGGCATACATATACTCTCGATCGTTCTTTGCATTGTATAAGTGCTGCAAACAATAACTGGATATTATAGAACCAGAGCTCTTTCAGTCACTCTGAAATTTTTTATTTTATTTTTAATATATTTTTCCGCGCCCTTAAGTCTTAACGCCTACGGGTGAAAAGAGGAACTTGAACCGTTACTTTCCTTTCCGCTCTAAGAATTTCTAGAGCGTGCCGGAAGGTGGTGCTTTACCACCACGAAGCCTTTACTCAAAGCTCTTCAAATGACTATTAGGTGGCGCCACTGGGCTTTGTTCCACGACGTAATGCCTTCTTACGTTATTTATATCTACATACACTTACTAAATTTCCATTCACAGTTTTACATTTTGTTCTACATGTAGCTTAAGGATTTTATGGCAACTTCGATTCTAATAAACGGAAACTGGAAGTTTTTATTTTGTTTTCACAAATTTTCCTATTGTGACTTTGGCAGATTTATGATCTAGTTGTTCGATCCGGCCAGCTCCGACGTATTTTATCCAAAGTACTTAAAACAATTGTGTTGCTCCATTTAACGCTGTTGAATGCGTTTTTAACGTTCAGTGTTGCTAGGAGAACTACCGGCCTCGAGAAGTTGTTGCCTTGTTGGCTGCTGAGCGCTTGCTTAACGACTTCTATTGCTCCAATGGTCGTCCTGCCTGGCCTAAAGCCATACTGCATCGGGGAAAGACCCCCACCTCTGTCGATAGCTGCTGATAGGCGTGGCTTGATTATTTTCTCTAGTAGCTTCCCGGTCAAGCATTTATGGTGGTCGATAAGATGATGGGGTTAAGGGATCTCCTTTGCCCTTACTTATCAGAACTAATCGTTGCCTCTTCCAAGTGTCGAGGAATTTCTCGATGGTAATGCAAGCGTTATAAATATCAAGCAGGATTTGGGGTCCCTCTGCTGGGATGTTGTCGGGCCCTGGGGCCTTCTTCCTTTTTTAAGGTTTCAGTAGCTCGTCCACTGTTAAGAGTTCGATCTGTTCTGCTATTGGTGGAGTAGTTCTCGCTTTGCTATTTGTGTGAGTGTGAAATAATGTTTTGACTATATGGTCCATTTGTTCTTCCTCCAGTTCTGGTTTTGTGCTTTTTGCTCTCAGCTTCTTCATCACGATTTTATACCCTAGCCCCCATGGGTCAGAGTTGACATCGTTGTAGAGACGTTGCCATGTTGTCGTTTTGCTTTTCCGGATAGCAGCATTTTAGTCCTTTTTGGATTTCTTAAATTGGTCCTCAAGTTCTGTAAGAATCCCCCTTCCTCTAGCCCTCGTGATGCGTCGTCAGTTTATAATACACGCTTCTCTAAGAGCTTTTATCTCTTCTGTCCACCAATACGCTTCTTGTCAGCGTTGCAGGCCTGTTTTATGGTTGCCATGTTGTTGCTAACTGCGTTACCGCCGCTCTGTCGGTTCTTTCTGTGGTCATTTTCTTGTATCAGCCTTGCCTTGTCTAGTCGGTTAACGGTCCATCCTTTTCTCGTTGGTCTTACTGTAGTCACTTCGTTTTCTGCTATGTTAAACATTGTATAGTTAAGGTCATATCCGATGTAGGTGTTGAGGACTTTCCAATCGGTTATTTTATGCGCGCAGTTTTCTGTCACTAGGGTTATGTCGGGGATTGTGCCCTCGTCCCTACACGATTGAATGTCGGCATTGCCCCTACATTTGCTGTTAGCATTCCGATACTTGAAGCCATATTTAGGACTCTACGGCCTCGAGAGTCAGTTGATGCCATGCCCCATTCTTGAGCCCTTGACTTAAAGTTGTCTTCAATACATTCAAGTTTCATCTGGAAAGTCTGAATGTCGTCACTTGGGGTCAAATTACAGCTGAATATCGTCCAGTTTCTTATTTGTGTTAGAGCATGGCATTATCCGTTTTTGTCGCCTCTGTGTGAAAGAGTGGTAGGTTCGGGGATCTAAATTGCCGCCGTCTTCTAGCCAAACACCTTCGTTCCATTTCTTATATTGTTCGCTTATGATAACAACGTCACTTTGGTTTTCCAGCACAATTTGGTGCAGCAGGTCATTTTCCGTTCTGCTTCTATGCATATTTGCTTGAAGAATCTTAATGGCTTTCCTTTCCTGGCTACACTGGGGTAGTGCGCCGTCCCAGGGAGGAGTCTAACGTCGCTCCTGTTCTCTGATGTACAGATACAGCATCTCGGAGCTTTAGCGCAGGTCTTCATTGTATGACCACTTTCACCACATCTAATGCAGAGGTCTCTCCTATCCGGTCCTTTGCAATCCTTTGCAAATGTCCAGCCCCGAAACATTTGAAGCATCTCTTTATATCGATGCAACGCTTAACGCGGGATCGGTCCACCCTATTCTTATTGGTTTTCCCGTCAGTATCTTCAGCGCGTCTTCCGTTGGTAACGTAACAAACGCTCGCCTTTGTTCTGAGCTGTTTACTGCTGTCAAGTGGATTATGATTTTCTGGCACGTGTCGCCTATACCTTCTCTGATTGCTGAGATTATTTCATCTTCTTATGTGATGCTGTCGATGTCTCTGATTTCCAGTTTGACCAATTTCCTCATGCTCTTCAGTGTTCCGCACTCTTTAAAAGTGTCCCTAATATTTTTACATAATTTGACCGTTTCACTACCTTTTGCAAGTTCCATGAGCATATCACCTGCCTTCGTTTTTTCTGACCGATAGTATATTGCTATCTGATATCTTAAGGTTTAAGGTTTTTGCGCAGGTTGCACAACACCTCAGCATAGCTTCTTCCCTCTGGCGGTCTGACTAAGACGGCTGCTGGGCGAGTATGCATTCTTGTGCTAGTCTTTCCTTTTGTTCATTGCTTCACTGTATCTGACTTGTCCTTCTTTAATTTTGCTATCTTTTTTCCCCTTTTGATTGTCTGAAAACCATCGTTTTCCTGTTTATTTTTCATCTTCTTCCTCCTCTCGGGCTACTGGCGGTCCTTTTCTGAAGTGTCGAAGTGGGGCTTCACTCACTGTATTGTCAGGTACGTATTCATTGGTTTGTCTTTTTCTTCGGTTTTCCAGCTAGATCGGTAGTTTTCCATGACATCAAAGAGCTCACTGAGTTCTGAGGTGCCATCCTGCACCTGCACTGCTTCACGAAAGCCATCGTTGACTATTTTTGTGAGTGAGTTTGAGTTGTAAGTTGACCATGCAATGCTTGCTCGGCGAAAGATACTTTTGTTAGTGCCATCTGTTGGTCAGTCGAATGTCGAGAGGCGGCGTAGCCACTATAGCAAGATAAGGTATATAGAGCACGAACGACTGGGTGTGAGAGAGCAACCAAAGCAATTGTCAACGGAGGACAAAGGCCACCGAGCCTTTCCTTGTTTATATCGTCTATAAACAGTATAGTTTGGTAGATCTTTCATCTTAAGTAAACCATGATTTACTTATTGTAGTTACATGAACTTTGTTATCTCCTTAGAACTTAATATAACATATATGTATTACAGAACGGGCGTTCCACGCCATAATATTAAGAGTTTTACAAGAGTTATTTGTTTGCATATATTGATTGCTAAGTTTAATATTACTTGACTTTGTTCTCCCTTATTGGAGCATGTGTTGAGATTATTTATTAAGTCTTTTAATTAAGAGTCAGTTTGGGTATTTGGTAACGTGGATGTACTCCTGAGCGCATCTTTATAAGTGACAAAGGGATGATGATACAATAGATTCTTATATTATTATTTGCTGAAGAGAGTGGACTTCGGAGTTTTTTGAACTCAACGTGAGATAGGACAGCATGGGCAGGTCTTATCAGTGGATGGATGATTGCCTTTGCAGTTGGCACATATTAAGTTGCTTGGATTCTCAGCTAATGTCTAAGTGAGCACAAGAAGTTTTAACTCAACAATTATTTAGGCCATGTCCAATTAATTGACAGTTGTAAAATTGTGTGTTATTTTGATATTTAATTTTGACGTGGTAGATCTACATCTTGTTGTTATATTGTAATGCTTTTGTTTATAAAATAAACAATGTACAGTTGTCAGACTTAGATCTTTTAACAGTATTAACATTTATGCATTGTAAGCCTATATTGGTTTTTGCTGGGAGTCTATCCATTCCAGACTTAACAGGTTTATACGATAGTATGTATAGAATTCCCAATGAAGTTCCTTGAGTTTTTCTGTGATCAGCTCAAATCACTGCTTGCAGGAAAATTTTATTACCAATGGAGATATTTTGTATTTAATATTTTTCAATTTAATGCATGGACATGGTAGCATAAAGTTGATTTTGGTTTTGTTTAATTACAGTAATAGGTGGTGGTTTGTCAACTTCTGTAGGTTCAATAGGACGATGGTAATTTGAATGTAATTTTAATGGCGACTTAAAAGTGGACTATAACTGAGTCAATTTCGGCTTCATGTGATATTATTCAAAGCGAAAGCAAATTCAAGTCAATATACAAATTCCAAAGGACCCATATTCGGTAAGAGCTAGGAAACTAAGAGGGAGAGGGAAAGATATTGATTTGATTAAAATATATTTTTAATATTATTATTTATTATTTATATAAAGTTAAGGATTGTGAACAAATGTTAGTTTTAGTCACTGTACGTTATAAATGTTTTTATTCTTTCCTTTTCCGTTTAAAATACAAGTTTTCCTTGTCGTTTTCACTTTTACACGGCTTTTATTATTCAGGTCTTCTCAAACAGTGATCTCCTGCTCTCAGCTACTTCCAAATCAACCCTCATTTTAACAGAGAGTCAACTTCTCGTGCTCTCTCATGAGAGAGTGTATCATCTCAATTCGTGTGACCAGAACATACTTATATTAACTAGCCTGTTACAGAATTGGTAGTAAACTAAACTATTTTAATCGTTTTGAAAATGTGATTGTCGGTCTACTGCAATCGCACTGCAAACGCCTATCGGAACACAAAATACCATCTCTATGAAAAGTTTTGACAGTTTTAAAAGTAAAGTAGAAAAATGGCTTATATTATAGATAACGAGGTAATCGTCCGCGAAAAGCAATCGTTCTCTAAGTGGTCCCTGAACTCGATATCTTTGCAAAGCACGGGACAGGAACTCGGTGAAAATGAAATCAAGTGCCTATCGTTCGAAGTCACTGAAGACATTAAAAATCTGTTGAATGAGGCGGGCAAATATTCGCGCCGAACTCGGTATGATCGCGTGCGGCGGTTCCACATCCAACATGCTGCTCAGACCCTTTGCCTTGACGTATTCTCCAGGCTGTTCCTGGAAGGGATCCTGGATTGGAATGTGTTGGAGGAACTTGAAGAACCCAGAACCGAATCCCCCGTGTCCATTCCTGAGGTTGGCCCAATGGACGTCGAAGTCACCTCTCCTTACGAACCAGATAATCCTGGAGCCATTGAGATTCCTTTGAATTCGTCAATAGACTCCGCCGGTCTTTCCGAAACTAATAATCCTGGAGCCTTTGAGATTGCTTTTAATTCGTCCCTCGACTCCGCCTATCTTTCCGAACCAGATAATCCTGGAGCCATTGAGGTTCCTTTGAACTTGTCAATTGACTCTGCCTGTCTTTCCGAACCAAATAATACTGGAGCCATTGAGATTCCTTTAAATTCGTCCCTCGACTCCGCCTGTCTTTCCGAACCTAATAATTCTGGAGCCATTGAGGTTCCCTTAAATACGTCCCTCGACTCTACCTGTCCTAACAAACCAGATAATCCTGACGGCATTGACATTCCTTTAAAATCATCCCTCGACTCCGCCTATCTGAGGAAGAAGCGATCTGGTTGGACTAGTCAGGAGCTGGCTCTGCTGATGCCTTGCAAAAACCTCCCGGTGACCAAGGAGCAGGTATATCTCTACCATAAGGTCACAGAGTCCATGGTGCTCGGTTCGGTTGCCACGCGTGAGCTAGGGCTGGAGGCTTTGTCCACAGATCCCACGTTTATTGTGCTGCTGCCCAACCTTAGCCTGTTCATCGCGGACGTCGTATTAATCAACGTGGCGGAAGAGAACACAGTATCTCTTTTCTTTTTGATGCGTATGGTCAACGCCCTATTGTCCAACGAAAATTTGAATTTAGACAATTATGTGAGTATTTGGAACTAGATGGTCAGAAGAAGCATCTTAAAAGTGCATCTATCGAATTGCAGCTTCATTTAATCCTGCCAGCTGTTCTATCCTGCCTGTTGACCAAGCAAATGATCCCCTCTATTGGCATGGCGGATCATTGGTCGTTGAGGGAATTCTGTGGGAGCATAGCCGCCGATATTGTCCGGAGCTACGATGGCTCTGACAACAGGCTCCTTCTAAGGGTTATTGAGTGAGATCCCGGTGGTCCGCAAATTCAGGAGCATTTGTGGTTTAACATAATTTTTTTATTTGCAGCATCTACGAACAGGCTCTTTTGAAACAGTCCCTTACCACGATGTATGGTGCCGTTATCGGACTGGGAAAGATCGGCGATGAAGCAGTACGCACCTGTATTCTGCCAAAACTAAAATATATATCCGAACGCATTGAGCCGCACCTAAAGGAGAGCATGGCATATTCCAGCGCCAGCCTACACACTTTGGCCGCAAAATTCATCAGCCATCGACTGATGAAGATGTGCTCCCCATTACTGAATTATTCTCCACAAGATCCTCCCGAGGCGTTTGCTGCCACTTACGGATTTTTGGGACCGATGTTGCGTGCGGCAGTATTCGTGTCCCATGTTAAAGTGGATGTGGAAATTAGCGAAAACTGGAGAAAGCTGGAGGAAGCTGCCAAATCGGCACAGCAAGATTCCGACCTCGACGACTTGTGTTTGTAAAGCCAGAAAGTAACAGCAGCTAAAGTATTATAGGTGTCAATACATTATACATCTCATATTATGTATGCTAAATTAAAACTTAAACTTTAGCGCTGCATGAAAGAAACTACAAAGATTTTCCACCATTCACAGAGCAACTTAGAGAAGTTATATCGAGTGTCTTGAGAACTTACTTCCTTGTCATATTCAGCCCCAAGGAAACCTCAAAATTTTTATGCTAATTGTCACAATGTTGCCGTTCCTGGTGTGCCCGAATGATGTATTCAATGAAACATTTAATGTCAACATTAACATGTGGTCCAGGATGCCTTTAACGGATCTGGTGGTCACCATATTGCTTGCAGTTTGCTTCCGTATTCTTAATTGTTTTTATTGGATCTGCGACTCGACGCTCTGTATTCTCTTCAGAGCTTGATCAATAAAAGTCTCCTTATTCGTTTGGCATTGCATCTGGTGTTTTTCAACGAAAAAAGAGAGACTAAAAGATCTTCCCTCGAGTGCATATATTTTTGCTATTGTTAAATTTTCTGTGGAGCAATTATCCAATTGGTTTTTGTAATAGAAATTGTCTATATGCGGTAATGAAAAGGTTTACCAGCGAATCGAAAGAACAAGTATTTTTAAATTGAAATAATTGGTTGCCAATCCAGACAGATCCCGTTCCACGCCATAAATCAATATTTCGTCCCACTTTCGTCGATGAGGTCGATAACAAATCAATTCAACATTAGATATTTTGTTCTTGGTTTCTCTAAAGTTTCTTCTAAAAAATATGTTCCGTTCCGTCGTCTTTTTTGGCATAAGGTTCAGGGGGCTTTAATGTATTATTTTTTACATTCCAGTTTTCTTCTTGTAAAAGGTATTCCAATTCGCTTTCATCAAGGACTTCCTCTAGAGTTCCTTTACCTTCACCTCGGCAATTTTTCATAATTAAATTTTCGGTAATGAATCAGGGAATTTTGAGAGTTTTGAGTTTCATCGCTGCTCGTTCCAGTTCGCACCACAAATTTACCTTCTCACTACGGTCGTTTGAATATACTTATGTCCGTGATTTTTGATTCCTTAAAATCTTACTTATATCTGAATTTTTTCTTCTTTTCATCCATAAAACAAAATATTGGCAAAATTTAAGCAGAGATGGCATAAAGTCAGGCATACATTAGGAGTTAAATGAACCATTTACACTTTATCTTCGGCTGAAAATAGGAAATAAATTCTAAAATATCCACGTAAATTTCGTCCTTTTTTTTCCATTGTTATTTCTTCGTGATCCTGAGCAGTAAATGTGGCGATTGGGGTAAGCACATACTATTTATTCCGGTAGCTCGAAAGTCACTTTTTATATTCATCTTCTGCAGAGGATTTGCCCAGCGCAACAATTAACACGGATTTTGTGATTACAGCCAATCAAATATCTAATTTGTAGTACATTGTTTTATTGGATTATTGAAAGAGATTATTATTTGATGAAAATTTGTTAAAAACTGAAAAAGTTATCATTTTTAATTGTATAAATTTCTCGATCGTTCCTATGGGAGCTGTATGATATATTAGGCCGATTTTCATAAAATCTTGCACAAAATTGTAGAATAATATGAAATGGCTATATCTCAAATTTGATCAAATTCTGTCGAAAACTAAAAATGTTATAATTTTTCTTGTAAAAATTTTCCGACCATTCCTATGGCAGCTATATAATATAGTAGTTCGATTTTCACAAATTTGTAAAATAAAATTGTAAATAAATTGGCTATATTTCAAATTTGTTGAAAATCTTTTGAAAACTGAAAAAGCTTTAATTTTTAATTGTATGATTTTCTCGATCGTTTCAATGAAAGCTATATGATATCGAAGTCCGATATTCATAAAATTTTACACAAAATTGTAGAATAACATAAAATGGTTATATCTTAAATTTGATTAAATTCAGTTGAAAACTGAAAATGTTATAATTTTTTTTTGTTAAAATTTTCCACAACAAAATTGGATAGAGTTAATTGTAAGAATAACCTTTTGAACCTACCACAATGTGTTTATGTAAGATATGTGTTTATATAACATAGATTAACTTGTTGCAAATTTTTGAATATTCAGAGTGGTACATACCATAACTGTAATACGTTCCGTCGGTGGAAGTCGCACTAGTATTTTATCATCTGTCCTGCATTCGTCGACAAGGAAATTGTTAACACCAATGCAATACTGTAGGGGCTTGAACCGAGCTTGGCTCAGCCTACACTGTAAATAAAATTGGGTTTCTTGAGCTTTTCCGGTTTTAGGGCTTATGGTGCAATTACTATTTGATGGACCTATGTTTTTTCCATGGTCACTAAAGTAGTTCCGTGATAAATAATATTTGGATTATATCGATTTACCGCTTTCACATTGAGATTTATTGTGATTTTACGCTTTTTTGAGTCCATAACGTTAAATATAAGTCTTTTAGAAGCGCCTTCCACTCGTGTATTGTCCACTTTCCACTGCCATGTTCTAATATTTTTATTAATGCAACGAGAACATTGCCCTTTCAGATGAATAGGAAATTCTACAGTATACTTTTTTCCATTACAGTTGCTAACACATAGAATATTCAAATGTATAAGCTGACGCGAAGAGGAAAAAACTATGGTTTGCCTAGCAATAGCTGTGCGAAGTGGATCAAATGCAGACCTTATAAGTAATATTATCTTTAAGGTCTGGTTATTGGGTTGAGAGTAAGCTGGTATAATAACCCGACTGCCTGGGGACGAAAATTTGTTTTAAATGTTGTTCATTTACACATTATAGTCTTACATGTGCCCATTTTTCGATGACAAGATTTTTTTTTCTGCTTTTTAGTTGAAGAACATGACCACCAGTAAGCCAAGTGTTGTGAACCAGTCCTAGGCATAGCCAAGTCTCTGCTTGGACTACCGTTAATACTTATACTCTTCCCACGAAATACTTCTCTATAATTTCCACCACGAATAGATGCAAATAATCGTTGGGAAGCCAATGTAAGATAACACTGTAAGTCAAAGTTGTAAATCATAATAATTTCATGGTTTCCTACTCAAAAACTCACCCTGGCAGTAAGTGGAGCTCGACGCCCTAGAATTTTCGCATTAAGGCGAATTAATACCATTCGGTTTAGCGGTGACTGCTGACGAAAGTTGAGGCGATATCCGGCAACCTTTAGTTCTGGTTTTGAAGTCGCACCCAAAAATTCGAATAGTTCTTTAAACAAATAAGATGTTATTTGCAATATTTTCTTTCTCCTAAAGACTTACCTGACTCTGTACTATCGTGCAAAGTCCAATAGTATTGAATAAAGTTGTCCATTGGACAATGTTTTAAGAAAAAAGCTCTTAAGAGAATCACTTTCGATGTTTCATAATGTAACGGCCGATTTGAATCGTGACAACGAGAAATGTCAATTTGAGGCTCACATGAAGTAAGCAGGTTAGGCCTAATAATTGTGTAAGTTGTGCTTTGATTTTCTTTTTCAAATGAGCCGTCATTTGTTATAAGGACATTAATATTAAAGAAACCATTCGATAAAAAATTAGCTCTGCATAGATGAAAAAAACACTTTTCGTACGGTAACTTAGCATCATATCTTACTCCAAAAAAAGATAGAGTTGTTGTTAAGTTTTTCGTTTTATACCAAACCAAAGATTCTTTTCGCTCACTTGTATTCGTCTGGAAATAATCAACCAAAATCCTTTCATTTAAGGTTACCTTAGTTGTAAACCATTTATTGGGTAAGGACTGCAACGTAATGATAATTTTTGGATTTCCGTGTACATGAAGTCGATTAGTAAAAACATTAAGGCTTGAAAACAAAGCAAATACATCCAAAAATATAAAGGTAATTAGATAGAAATATGTTTTTTGCATGATTTGAAATAATATTATTTTGTTCGTACTGGTAATGTTTTAGGAATATGATGCTGCGATCAAAAAAAATATTTGTTGTGTTTATTAAATAACTTGTATATGTGTTTCTAAGTCGAGTTGCCACCACACCGACTTATGTTTCAATACAAAACTGATTTCACATAAAGCTTTACCAGCCGGCTTTGCATATCATATGTATAAATTGCAAATCTTTAATAAATTGCAGAAACTACTCGATTATCGGCAAGTGAATTAAGTGCGCAGTATAGGCAGTAGGCGTTCTGAATACACAAGCTTATAAGGAATATAAGGATTTCCCTACAAACTTATACCTTCTGATGTAGGAGGATGAAGTCACGTTAGCTGCGAGCCATCTATTAAGATCCCAGATCACTTCATCTGGGATCAGCTGGACATCTTAGTCATGTGTGTACAATTTTTTGACTTTGCCCGCACATGATCAGATACACATTTGTCTATATACAAATTTGATAGCAATATAACGAACCGCTGCAGAAGTGCACTGTAAAGCACTTGTCTGCATAGATGAAATTACAAACGCCTTTTTAGCCCAAAATATATACATACATACATATCCGAAAGAGAAATTTCCAGTCCATCCATGAGTGAAACTACTGCATTATAAAATTTATCTTCTTGTTATACCCTTGCAGGGTATCATAATTTCAGTCAGAAGTTTGCAACGCAGTGAAGGAGGCACCTCCGACCATATAAAGTAAATATATTCTTGATCAGGATCAACAGCCGAGTCGATCTAGCCATATCCATCTGTCCGTCTGTCCGTTTCTACGCAAACTAGTCTCTCAGTTTTGAAGCTATCTGAATGAAACTTTGCAGGTAGTCTTCTATATACTCTCACTCGTATATATGTCGGAACGGGTCGGATCGGACGACTATATCATATAGCTCCCATAGGAACGATCGAGAAATTAATTCAATTAATTAGTATAACATTTTCAGTTTTTAACAGATTTTCATCAAATTTGATACATAGCCATTTTATAAGAAATAAAAGAAATTAATAAAATTAAAGATTATAACTTCTTCAGTTGTCACCAGATTTTCATCAAATATGAGATATAGCAATTTTATTTTAATCTACAAATTTGTGTAAAGTTATAAAAAAAACCGGACTACTATATTACATAGCTGCCATAGGAACGATCAAAAAATGAATACAATTAAAAATTAAATTTTATATCAGTCTTAAATTTTGTGTCAAATTTTATGAAAATCGGACGACTATATCACACAGGTGCCATACAAACGATCGTTAGATGTGGAGCAAAAATGCAAATCTGTGAATGTAAAACTGAAAATATAATATGTATAGGTGAATGAAATGAAAGCAGGTATTATTTCATTGTTTTTTAACACAAATATATATAATTTATATTGTATGGATTCCTATTCATAGAAGTTCTATCTGCAAGGGTATATAAACTGTGGCGTGCCGAATTTAGCTTCCTTTCTAGTTTTTTTAATATCTCCCCCAATTTTTTCAGTATATCTGTTCTAGAATTTTGGTTGGTTTTTCTGGAAATAATTTTCAAAAGCGAAGGAAGAACCACTTACCGGATCTCCGACGGCTTTCATCGTGTCGCTTAAATGAAGCAAACCATGAATATTGTATGAAACACTATTTTCACCAAAAACAGAAGGGAAATTCTCAACAAAAGCATTAAACATTTCTTAAAAATATTTATATTTGCTTAATCTTGCTTAATGTTGATTTAATCCTTAAGAGCTACGATCCCAGTAACAATAAAAACTGTCTAAACTCAAGTTTAGGAGCTCAAACAAGGTTCTCGGCTTGCTTGGTTAAGTGTTAGTAGGCGCGATAGGAAATATAGAAAGAATACGAGAAAATTACTATTAAAATTAAGTGGGTTAGGATTAAAAATTTTAGTTTGGGAGGTAGAAATAAGTGTGTACAAATCATTATAGTTTGCACATAAGACTCTAAAAGGTTCCTGCAATTCGGAGGTTCTACAGTGGCGCATCACTAAGCGTATATAGGATCTAGTATACTTGGTACTTGGAAATTGAGCTGACTCAACAAGTCAGCACTTTCCACGTCACCATGAATAAGGTTTTAGATAAAGGTTATGCCTACCATAGTTCTACGGATGGCTAAGGAAAGTAAGTTAATTCGGAGGACTCGGAGGTGTTCGTTTGCATCCCAATTTAAGCCGCGTAGAGCGAAAAGTAAAATGTTCTTTTGAGCCGATTCGATGCCTTTACTTTGGACGCCATACTCAAGATCCATATTCAATGATAGGACGGAGCTCAGAATCTGCGGCTTTACCGAGATTACCGGCCGCTTTTTCTTTTTCTTCGCTTCGAACTCCTTGACAACAACATACTCTGGCCAGAATTTGGTAGAGCAAATTGTGTTAATGCTGAAGTCGAGGGCTGTGCCGGGGAGGCTGCTGCTGAGAGCCCGTTATTGGTGTCCGCCTACATGCTATCCGCCAATAGCAGTTTTTTTGCGCCTCGGAGACTCATTTAATACCGTAAGGCTATTAAATTGGGTGTCCAGCGCCAAGAACATTTCATGAGTTTCACGGAAACTCGATAAAATGCCCTCAAAACCGGTTATTGTTTGCCACATGAAAGACATCATATCCCTTTTCACATCGCGACAGGCCTCACAGCAGTAACGCAGGCCGATGTTTTTTTTTACATCGTCCACCGTCCGAGCTGCAACACCAATACACTTGGAGTCGATGATATTGTTGCACAGCCAGCAGACGATTGAAAGGTCCCCTGCAGAAATAGCCTTTTGCAGGTTTTGGCGAAACAGACAATATTAGCAGACATTATTAAGACTTACCACTGTACTTTTACTTGAGAAAAAAAAAACAGAGCTAGAAAGATAAGAAGTTCAAAGTCACAGAGAGAGCGAGGGAGATAGGATAAGATAAGAAGTCAACACAAAAAAAAAGATACGTTACAAAAGGACAAAAAACGGATGATTTCTTTAAAAAAAGACAAAAAAAAGGATAAACATATTTCCTTAAATTTTAGTTTATTTCATATTTTATGTTTTTTCGTAGCCTAAAAAAAGATCTCTTTTAATTTTAGTTTCCTCATCAGATGGTATTACTTTCGTGCCTAAATAATTTATGCCGTACATTAAATCTTCCAAAAGTTTCGTCGGATTGGAATTATTTAATTGGAAGTTTTTGTTAATGCGTTGCATGACTTCCAAAATAGATTTTAAATAAATCAAACAGAGATGATTAACCTCAGTGTATAGTTGAGCTAAAATTGCTGCATTGTGACACTTTTCATCTAATGCTGCCTTATTGAAATGCAATTTTATTATAATCTAATGACAAAGACAAAATAAAATAAAAAGGATAAATTTTAGGACAGATGATGTTTCAACATTTTTTCGAACAAAGCAGTTTAAAAAAGGATAGATCTGTCCTTAAAAAAGACAAATTGGCAACACTGAAGTGCAGCGGCACAGCGAAAGCGAGAGAGCGGGAGATGGATAACTAAAATGTTTTGCTGTTGCGACGGTGCAAACAAAAGCAAATCGAAGAAGACACAAAAAGGAATGCAAAACACAACTAAATTGGGAAATAAAACCAATTATATACACAAATCAGAATAGCTGAATGCACACGCGAAATTTTTGACAAAAAATAGAAGATTTAAGTTATCCCCGGTGGTTATTTGCAAACTTTAACACAAATCGAGAGCACAAGAAAAAAAAACATGTCTGTTCACTTGGAAAGATGAAAGATTGATAGAAAGGGGGTCTCGTATCAAACTAGGTTGAGTTGTTTCCAAGTCATGTTTAAGGGGTTTATCTTCATTTTTAGTGAGATCTTTTTTTTAGGGAAAGGCAATTACTTTTGTACTTCCATCGTAATAAGAAATTAATTTTTCGGTAGCCAGGACAAAACGGCATCTGGTTTTCAGTACCTCGATTTTTATTGGCTTAAATTCGACTTCCACCGGTGCGTTGATGGCTGGAATCCTTCCATAGCCGAACTCGGGCTAAGCAATGGATGACCAAAATGGAATTGTCCTTACTTTTTTAAGAAGCCTTATCGCGAAGTGCTCGCATTTGCGAGGATTTATGTCGTCGCCTTTTTCTTTACTTACTATCTCGTCAACTTCGAGCTTAATTGATGCAGCCCAACGAAACAGATAACTTGATGGGGTATCTGGGGGGAATCGTCGTCAAAGGTATTTTCCGTTGAACCTATGAATGGGTGTGTATTTAAATAAGTTACAAAAAATTAAAAAATTGCCAATGTTTTTTTCTTAAAAATGTAAGATATATATGTATATCTTTGCCAAACAATTATATGAATTAATTTACCTGAATCCAGATTTATTGATTCTGAATCTAAAATAATGAAACTAATTTCCTTCTGCAATTGCTGCGTTTCATAATTTCCAATAAATTTTAATGAACTTTTCAGCAGAGTAGCCTCTTCTCCATATTTCTTGCACCTCGAAATAATTAACAGGGCTTGTAGTTATATTTCGGGCATCGTTTGGATTGGGGGCCAGAATTAGTTGTCCGATTCCAAATAAATAAAACCTCGTAACGACCTTCTTCTCATTTTTTAAAAAATCATACCAATTTTTTATATAATTTTTTATACATGTGCTCTGGGCAAGTAATCCGACATACGCGCATCAGCATATGCCTCCACAGTGTCGAATGTTGCAAAAGCCAGGCAACAAGCTGATAGCAGAGCTCTTGACGAATCACACACCTGCAATAAGTTTTAACTCATTATAAATAATAAATTTATATATAACTAAAATTTATAATTTAATAATATTACCACTTTCTATGGATACTTATCACCCGTTTGGATCCAACGCAGCACAAAAGCCGTTATTGACACCATGTCCTGTTTCTCGGTAAGAATCGAGAACACAACAAACTGACCAACTGTTGATTGGAGAACGGCAACATGGAGAAAAATATAATGGGATTTCTTCTTATCTACGTGGACGTACTCGAGGAACCTGTCTCTCGATGCATCTATGCATAAACGGCTTTGCTTTCGTAGCTGGTTTTAAATTCGAATTTGATGTGGAGACCAAATATACACCTGGACTGGATCCTTACCAACGT